CAGGGTTTGGAGCATCTCTTCTCTTTCTTGTGTGTCAGGTTTCCTCTTAGCAAGCCTCAACTCGCCAGCAAATGGGTGCACAGCCTTGGGATGAAAAACTTCATCCCAACGGCCAACACTTGCCTGTGTTCGGAGCACTTTAGGCCAGACTGCTTCAGAGACTACAATGGCAAACAGTTTCTCCGAGAGGATGCGGTGCCCACCATATTTACCCAAGGACAGGATTCCTCAAAGGTGCGGTCTCACAACAGGATCATGCTTATTCTAAACAGGTGACTCTGCTTTCTTTGTTTGAGGTGATAACTCTGTAAATTCCACAGATTGAACTGCGTAAAAGAGGAGTAATCCTGAAGGAGACAAATGTCGCAAATCAGATGACGACACAAGCGGACAGAGACAGAGCAAAAGAAGCTGCTCTTCGCAGAGACAAAAGAGGAGGAATGAGGGTGAGTGTCTCTTTTACTATTGTGTATACTGTGGGAGGGTAATGTGTGCTCACTTTTTTACCCCTCAAGAATTATTTTTAAAAGTCTAAAATGCAAAAATAATAATAAAGTGTCATGACTGTTGCATAAATGCAACAAAGCCATGATGTTTTGATATAACATCAGAGGTATTAGAATATTAACCAGAAGCCACTGGATCATTTGAAATAAAGCAGTTTCTTTGTTGTCATTAAACCACGAATCTCTTTCCCCAGTTATCTTTATGTGTAATATAAAGTGTATTATTTATTTTAGGCCTAATTTATCTCTGCATGAGCTATATTTCTTTATTATTGTTATTGTTGCAGGGGGGACGAGGTGGCCGTGGAGCGAAACAGCTGTCAGACAGGTGAGAGATGCTTGCTGTACATCCACAAAAATGCATTCTAAAGCATGAAACCTTTATTGTGCTTACACCTACCACTACCACACACCTTTTGGAAATGCTTGCTGATCCAGTTTAGTGTTGCTGCTAATGCTGTGTTTGCATGTTTGCAAGGCGAAACATCACAGCTAGGCTCACATCCTGTTTTCTTTGTTTGTTTTTTGTCATGGTTCTTCTTCCCATTGTTGTGGCTTCTCTTGGTGAATAATACTATTAAAATTGGGCTAAAAGTCAAGCCTGGACAGGGATCAGTTTTAGTTTTAAAATAAAAATGTTCCCTGTGTGGATGCAGGCATACAGTTATCTCCACTGAGTTTGATGGTAGAAGCATTTGTTTGTGCTTAACACTAAGTTCTTTTTG